AGTCATGAGGCACTGAGATTGTACTTAGAAACTTCGAAACAAATGCCTAACATGAAACAGAAGTCCCAAGGTGGCTATCAAAATTATTTATTGGACATCACCCCATTTATTTACTATGATTTTCAATGCGTTTCAATGGGGCAAATTACTGGGTCCCCGTTCCAGATACACCAATTTTAAATATTTATTTTTCTTTTTTTCGTTTTGATCAGTCAAATGATATACTCTTATTATAACACTTGATTATTAGTTTCCCCAAGATTATTTCTTCGTTTTTAAACTGATCAAATAACTAAATCATTTGGATTTTAATAAATTTCTCCTTTAGATTTAATTTGAATATCATTTATAATTTTTATAACATCGGATTTATTCATCCTTCGTAACAAGTATATGAAATACGTTTTCAATATCATGATTTGGCTAACAACGGACGTAACCCTAAATATAATTTAAAATTCTACGGCGATCTATTTGTATTTGCCACCACCTTTAATATGTATTTTAACTTTGCGTATTAAACCCGACCTCTTGTCTTATAATCCATTCGAAATGACATTCACACTTGGTAAGGTGCGCCCTGGAGACACGGCTAAATACCGATCTGCAAATTACCTTCATTTTATATCAAGCCTCCCATGGGTATTTCCAGGGAATAATGCACATTCTATTAACATAGTCCTAGCGTAGAAATGTTTGCTTGAATCAAGGGTCAAAACGTACCGAGACTTATTGTCCTTACAGTTAAGTTATATTCTCTAATTTTTTTCACCATATTCGTTGGAAAATAAAAATTAAAAAAAATTAAATAAAAGATTTACCTTTTGCGCTGTCAACATATCGAAAATCGAAACATATACGGTGAACATAGAAAATTTTATCTCATGAATGTAAAACGTTGCATGTCTGTTCGTTTCTTTTTCTTACTATCGGATGGTAATTAGCTATCAAAATTAGTCATCGGCGCGCTTATGATTACGTTAAAATATGTTTAAAGACCAAGACTTTAAATGATTGTACTTTAAATCCCGGCATGCAATACCAGGAGTTAACGTCACGTACTACAGGAAGTAGTCAATAAAAAAGTATTAATTATTGATGTTCCTCTTTATTTCTGCACATATAGCGATAAAACTTTGTGAATATGTATTTTATGTTATAATGAACATATTGAAACTATAAGGAAAAAATCGCGAATTTTCCCTTTAACTCCATCTGGTAAGACCGAACAATAAATTTTTCAGTCATGTTCAACCTTTGATACTATTTTCAGAATTATCCACTGAGGAAAAAATCATTTGCAGTCAATCCAGCACTGTTCAATAATATTTCATACAATTCAGTATGATGTTGATAAATGCAGATAAATAACAACTACTGAGCGCAGACTGGACATATCTTTTAAAATTGACTGCTAGCGAATTATCTGAACAGTTATGAATTTACCGCAGTGAGTATGTCATAACTCAATAATTTATCGCTCAGTCTATTAGAGCTGTTCAGATCAAAATGACTGTTTCAGATCGGTTTACTAGTGTAAGTCAGCAAATTGACTTAAAGGCTTAAAATGGCTAAATTATTTATTGTGCAGTCTATTAAGAGCTGTTTAGATCAAAATTGGATAACTAGTGTTAAGATTTACCAAATATTCTGAATTACTGATGGAAATTGACAGAGATGATCGGTTGTGAACTATCATTTTATGAATAAAATTAAAACAAGATATAAACTCAAATTGAAAATTTTTGAATTGATTATGGTCAATTATGAAGTAAAAGGAAGGATCATTATTATGTCCGACAGTACTTACCAATTACTAATTATATACCAGACTTCATGACCTGATTTGAATGTTGACGATTAATTGTTGACCTTCTTTAAAATGGTAGACAAGCTGGTTTCAAAGTGAAAGATAAAATATGTTAATACAAAAACTATTTATGATTTTATTTTATTAATTTTTTGGTGAAAATGACAAAAATGATTAGGCATACAGACTTTATGCATAATTATATTTGTGTCGACACTTAGCTATAACGGCGGTCAAGTAAAGCAAATAGCTATGATACAATGTATGTTCCTACTGCACTCGAACCCTTTGTGGCGAACTTTAGAAGAATTTTGTATGAATAAAAAGAAATATGACTGCATATCAAAGGAACCCAACAACACATAAAAACTTCTAGGTGGGCATATGGTTTACAATAAACAGGTGTCTATAATAAACGTGATGCTCTTAATAGCCCCATGTCTAGAAAAATAATTAATCTTAACAGAGACTTTCAAATTCGCATTAAGCGATTCAAACATAATCTGCATTAAGTTTCTACTTCATAAACATTGTATACAGCAAGGTCCTCAACAGTACAGGAAACATTACCTTGTTCAATGTCAAGAACAAACCATATATAATTTATAGCAGAAAGCAAGAAATCGTATCTAACTTCAAAATATAAATGATATCAGTGTAATGGAATTATCAAGGTATTTTATATTACGCTTTATGTAAAACTTTAATCGATGACTGCATTAACTAAATATACCAAAGGAATATTAAAACTCGTGACCAGAAAACAAACTTACAATGCAAAACCTGAAAAACGACCAAAAGACACATAACAGTATACAAAACACTATAAGCAGCACTGAAAACTTACAACACACATCCCGCCAAAAACCGAGGGTGATCTCAATTGCTCCGAAAGAGTAAGCTGATTCTGCTGCACATATCCACATGTGACACCCGTCGTGTTGCTCTTGTGAGTACAAATCTGGTGACCGGTGATAAGTCTAAATCGGTAGGTCACATTCGAGGAAAAAGGACGCGATTGCGGTTACAACATTTGGAACATATCCGTCGTCATCTATGGCACAGATAACGGTAAACCAAATCGTGATGGCGTCTGTAACCGTTTCGTAGAGATGGTTTAAACATCACCACTTGGAACTTTTGGTTTAATAACGTCCTTGTACGCAGCAACCTTCAATCAAGAATATCATGATAGGAAATGCAAGCTCCAGGATATCGTATTAACTGGACGATATAGACTCCAAATGCAGACGTTGCTTGAATATTCACTAGTATGAACTTTTGTCTGAAATAGTCATTTTGATTTTAACATTATCTAAAAAGTCTGAACAATAGATTGTTAAGACATATTCAGTCTTTCGGTCAATTTTCATACTTATGCAACGTACAAGCAGATGATTTACACACAAAACTCTCTTGTTTTGAGTAGTTATATGGGGGAACATTTAAATATTTGTCGTTGAGATAGGACATGTCACACCATTTAAGTCCTTAAAGATCGATGAAGCATGTTGGTTCATAGACCTATTCAGTTTTTAAATCCTTATTTGTATCAACGACCTCACAGTTTGTACCCGTTCGGAATGAGTATCAACGTCTTCTTTCTTGCGTTTAGCCCATTTCCTGGAAAAATCCTCGACTAAATCTATCAGTATTTTGAAATTGTGTTTCCAATTAATGGATTTTGGCTCACGATCTTTCTGGACTGTGAATCTCATTTCGCAGAGAAGTGTTATTGACTATGTTAAGGTCACCAATGATAACGCGGCCAACCAGATTATATATTAGCACAGTTGAAATCAAAAGGTTAAGACTTAAAGAGGACAATATTGATATCCGGCAACACGTGAGTGTAATTGAAGATTTTAGTCGAAATTGGTTTGGTATAGTTATAAAGATGATAGTAACAGATTATGACTTCTGGTGAGTCATATTGTCCAAGTTGATTGCATCGATACCTTTGTAGGCAAAAGAAAGAAATAAAAAATATAAACTAGAGGCTCTACAGAGATGTGTCGCTCACCTAGGTCTGTGTACATAATCAACAATGGACTTTCTCCAACATTTCAGACAAGAATAGAATTCACGACAAAAATTTCTTTTCTGCTGATCTTGTATTGCTGATCATTTTGTTCATTTAGTTTCTCTCTATCTTCTTTAGCTTTTGCTAAAATCACAAAAGAGGGTAAAAAAAATTCTCATTTAAGGGCAACCACTCCTATGAAGAATGACAGTCTACAAACTATATCAGCAAATTTTGACGTGTTTGTGGGTCTTGCCTTGATGATTATTTTTGTTATTTAAAGTTTCTATCTATCTATTATGGTTTTTAAGATACAAGACGAAAACGCAAAAAAATGGTAAAGATCTTCATCAAAGGGCACTAACTCTAATTAAAAGTCAACTGACGTTTTCGACCATGCATCCCTATTCATAGATCTTGTCTTGCTGATCAATCTTGCAACTTATTCTCTATCTATTATAGTTTTCAAGATAAAAAGTAAAAATGAAAAAAATGGTAAAATTTGTCATTTAAGAGCAATTACTCCTATAAGAGTTCGCCTGACAGTTTTGACGTCAATGAACAATTAGTAGAGAGCAACATTCTGAACATTTTCACCCTGTCAGATTTTCTCTATTTATATCGGTTTTCAAATTATTAGACAAAACTTGCATTTTATCCCTATGTTCGATTTTTAGCATATCTGTCATCTTGGTTGGTAGGCGGGGTCATCGGACACATTTTTGAAACTAGACATCCAAATAATGATTGTGCCCAAATTTGGTTAATTTGGTCCAGTAGTTTCAGAGGAGAAGATTTTTGTGAAAGTTAACGGACGAGGACGAAGTTTGTGCAATATCAAAGATGATAGCATTAAGTTAAAGTATGCAATTTCCAGTCCCCAATGGTCTTGCTGAGTTTTAAGAGTTACTCATTGTTAGTGTTCTTCATTAATTCTCATCAGCACTTATGCTACAGCTACATAACAGTATGTTTTTATTATGACAAATTACCTTTATCACTTTTTTTATTCATATATTCAACTTCAAGGTTTCATTTTATATTTATTGAAATGTACATTGCTGTTTTATATCAAATCAATATATTGTAACGTGTTCTCCAACCGATGAGAACCTTTCTTCCCAACTAGATCAACCACAAAACTAGACAAACACAAACAGGAACCAATCACTGACCAAAATAATTTAATAGGAAAACCAAACGCTCATAATAATTACAAATACATTAAACATAAACTTTCAACAACACTTGGCACACAGAGCCTACTATTAATATAAGTCTCGTTTCTCTGTTGACGCAAAGTCTCCTTTTTGTGTAGTAAGACAGGTTACTTGTATTTTTATATATTATTCAATAAAGCATCATATTCTGTACTTATGGCGATGTTCTGAATTTAAACACAAAACTCAATCAAAATTAAACAGCTTTTTTTTACGATACTGGCATTATAACAAGTGCAACATGAGTTAACAGTTGTGAGAAGTATAGGTTCTAAAATTTCCGTCTATAATAAACGAAGTATCAATAATACTTAGATCGACAAAAAAGCGACACACAGGTCCATCGGCAACTTTCCATAATACATGTATTAAATTAAGTAATATGTAAATGAATAAATCACAATCCTTTATAATCCTCTTTCTAGATTATTAAAATAGGTTAAAGGTAACCCAACAATACAAACGGACACTTATGCAGTCTTTACGCACATTTACCCTATTCAACGTTAAAATTTATATTACTACTACAATGAAAACATGGATTTTAAAGAAAAAAGAAAACTAATAGAAATTTTGACTCCTTTGAAAACTGAAAACTAGAACAAATATATTCCTTCAGAAGAACTGCTATCAATAACTAAACTGCGTTTATAACGGAATATTCAGGAACTTCAACCTCCTAAACTGTAACTTAAAATAAAATCATATAAAAAAATATTTATTAGCTGAGAACTGGAGATCGGGACAAGCTGGAACTAAAGAAAATACTATTTGTTTTACGCTTTTGTTTACATCGCGCGCATTAAATTCCTAAAAAGATTAAAATGTATGACCAAATACGGAAACTTCCTTATAATGCAAATATATTTGACGTTAATGTGAAAGTAAATGACGTAATTCTAACCCCATTACCGCAAAAAGTTGCGATACGTCGGTGCAAAAATAGTTTATATGAAGCAATTTCTCTGATATAAATCAAACTCTATTCTACATACATTTTGTATACAACAATTTAAATCTATTACTATTCTTGAAAACATACACAAATATAATTTTAATGCAGTCTAAAATTTCTACGATTTCTTTCACATGTTTCAAAACAATACCCTAAACGTCCGGTAAAAGTACAGGTGAAAGTAGCCCTTGTTCCAATGCTGCCGCTAAGAAAAACCACATTTCCTCTAATACTGGATTATACAATATTAAACTGATTACTTATATAATAGGTAACTATATAATAATATACACACATTTAATACTATAATACATAGTCCAATTGGCAAAAATAGAGATGAATATTGTCAATACACTTCAATAAACATACGAAGTCTTCATTATACATAAATTATTCACAATGTTACATAAATATTTGTCCCCAAAAAATAAACAATACTAACAAAGTTTTTGGCACTACTATCATTCAATATCGCCACAATATTTATGACACATGTGTAGAAAAACAACTTAATTACTCAATCGGCCAATTTGCATTCGTATTTCAGAAATTAATATTGTTAATTGAATTGGCATCAACACGATTTCGAGTATTCTTTTTTGGCTTTATGAGTTCAATAACTAGGAGGATGTCGACCAAAGCAGCAAGACACATTCCTGATATGCATAATGCAAATGAATACCCATAAAAAAATTCTCCCCCTGTTGTGATGTCATCTACATTCTTCACAAATAAGACAGTTCCTATGAGAATAAACACCACTGAAAGAGACAAATAATTCATATTAAATTTCTTCGCCATTTTTTTTCCCAAATTAATCTGTTTTTTCTTAATAGAAAATGAAAGGATATGGAGTAAATGTACATGGGACAAAATCACACACAATATAGAAAACATAGAAAAATATCAATGAACAGGGCTTTTACTCCTGTTCTTCATCTTCACAGTTGATGTAGGGTCTTAACTCTACATCAAATTACTCAAAACATTTTCAAAATTATTTAAATTCCATAAAGATATTAGATGCGTTTAACTACTCTAAAATGAGTAGCATATATTTTATGGTGCATATTCTTATTTGAGCAATATATTGTATACATTTTTCATCGAATTCTTTTCGTATCTTTCTTGACATGTATATCTGAACATAAAATTTCCCTGACATTATCATATACTGAGAGTTTGCGACATAACAATGGGCGAAAAAAAAAGCAGGCGTGTCATTTAGGAAAATAAAACGCCTTGAAATTGAAAATGTCTCTTAAATGTACATTTCAAACTTGATAACAAATATACTTGTATAAACGTGTGTGTTAGGTTTTTATTGTAAAATTTTCAAATGCAAAACACAAAATTTTAATACAATTTTTTCATATAATTTATATATATATATTCGCCTAAAAAGTGTACAAAATCATACCAATATAAAAAAAGACATATATTTACTTATTGTTTCTTAAAAGAGTTTGTATAGTCGTTGACAATGCTATCAAATTGAGGAAATATATAAACATATAGGCGAGTTATCACAATTCAAGAGATTTCTTTAGAACCTAAAGCAAAACGACATTTCGAGATAGAAATGTAATGAACATAATATAAACAGATAGTCGGTATTCCAATGGATATTATATGTAAAACCCTACTATATAAAAGGAGATGTAGTATGCAACAATCCACGAAAGATCAAATAAGTGGATGTAAGCAATTATAGGCAACCGTACGGCCTTCGATAGTGAAAACAACCCCTCCCGTATAGTCGACTAAAAAAGGTCTGATTGTTATCATACTCAGAGAAAGCAGCTTCATACAAAAACCTTCTCAAAAACAAAACAAAAATGCATTATGCAAAGTTCTTTTTATTTTAATTTCAGAAATATTGACGATATCCAGTCACTCAATAACCCACATTTAAGTGAGTGCTGCATCTCATTCGTTTCAGTGACCTTTAGGTTAGGCATACTATCGATTCCCCGATATTTACAAAGATAGGCAATTTCAAACGTATTCAATTCATCTTTCCAATTGTCAAATTCCCGTTTCTCAGCAGTATAATAACCACTGCTTCATCGTATGGTGTTAGAATATCTTGATTTGTACGTTACGCTCGTGACGTTCACATTAAACGAACTTCATTAACATTAACATTGGTCCTTACATCGACTGAAATCGACACTCCAAAATTATTGAGTTCACCTTCATGAATTGGTTGACTGATACGATGTGTCTGTGTCTCAACTCACTAGTAACACGTTTTCGAGTTCTTAGACTTTTTTAAATCAGAATAGTTGTCTGATCGGTCATTGTACCGATTTTATTTTAATGTCAATTGTAACATTTCTACACAATGTGGATTCTCGATCAGTTCAAGGAAAAATTTCTTCTCAAGACTGGTATTTCACAAAAAAGCCCATCCGAAAATGAAATTTATGTTTAATTGCTCCGAAAATGAAATTTATGTTTAATTGCTCCGAATATCAATCGATATGATTAATATTTTTTTAAAAAATGCTATGATTGCCGACAGGGTAAATTTCCATTTTCAAATCCAGTATTCTGTCGATATCAAGACATAAGCAAAAAACAGTTCCATTTGATAGAGAGCGAAATAGATCACGTTTCTCCGTGAGGGGTTAACATGCCTGTACGTTTTGCAAAATACATCAACATAGAGCGTAACAATTAAATGTATTTAGTACATGTACCCTCGCGATGGTGTAATACGAACTTATTCCGTCTGTTAAAAGAAAATACATAATATAAAAATACACTATTTATCAACCAATCAAAATCCCCGTTGCTCAGATAACAAAAACTTTGAACTTCAGTTTGTATTGGTGTATGCTCTGTAAGCATTTACATTTAATACATGAGTGTTTTCAAAACACAACTAAAACTTACCAGCAGAGAAAGTAACTAAGATAGCAGTAATTCGTAAAACTTTGTTTTCAGGGAACTTGAACAATCTCAACCCAACACAAGCTATCGATGCTAGGAGAGCAATGAATCCAAATGCACTCATGGCTAGACATATTCTATACCAATCTGAAAGGATAAGCATGAAATAAAAATAAAAATGAGAAATTTCTTAATAGGAATATAGTTATGAAATAGTAATTACTTGTTTATCAATTGATATAATAGTACAGGCTTATACATTCAATGGTAAATTAATGCAACATTCATTTTTCAGTGTTCAAATCTCGTAAATCGATTCAGAAGTTAAGTTCTTTGTAAAAATATGCTTATTGTTTTGGGCGAGTAAGAACTATAACTCTAGGAAGGTTAATCTAAATATCACCAAAATCAAAAGGTATCTTGTTTTGTTAGGAAGTAGTGAAATAATACTGTAGTTATTATGAAGTATAAACCTTTACGACAAACTGGATGATTTCAGCTTCCAAATTGTAAACTTTCAATATTTATGTATCAACAATTCAGCAGCGCCTGCTCATGGAGTACATAGTTCAGTACATACGATATTCAAGAACTTGCATTTTCCTATCATGAGTTTCTTGATAGAGGCCGTCAAGGTCGTTAAACCCACCCATCATTATCGCAGACTGAAATTTATCTTTTATTTTCACAGGATCCATGTTCATTTATTGCAAGAATTCTTTTACGTGCGTACAGCACGATAATTCCTTAACACAATCGTAACCACGCTTCAATTTTCGTTTGATATCTGCTGCTTTTCCACAAGTAACGCACGTTTTGCACCAGTGACCAGTATTACAATTTTACACAGTTTTAAAAGTTCATTGAGCTGTTACTTTATTTACAATTTTTAGCAAGACTAAACTGTTTACTAAATGAAATCAACAAATGTCAACATTATCTATATCAATTTTATTATTTAACCAAAAAATGTTTTTAATTACAAACTATTTTAAATGTCGGTATAATTGTAAATTTTTTTTTATCGAAAATATAAGATGCATCGATTTAAATTATGTAAACAATGAATAATTTCTGTTCCTTCTACGTCCGTGTCTATATTTAAATAATGAGTACAATATAGGGAAACAGAAAAAAGAGAAAAGGTAAATAAACAGGAACACATTGATTCTACGCATATAATGATGACAAATTTAAACAGAAACTTAAGTGATCATTTCAACTCACAAATTTGTTTCAATATATTCATTTTCTATTGATTTGTTTTTTAAAAACATCTTTTACTTCTAGGCTCGCGCCAATGAGCGCAATTACGACCTTCTCATTCTCTTTCCCGTTTTTAATTTTTCGCTAGTATTTGTTAAAGAACACACGTTACTTACATTCCACGAGTTTTCATATCATTCGTCTCTTTTTATACTACTATAAGTCTTTCGGCACATGTGTATATTTAGGTAACATATTGATATATGATATACAGTCATTGATTAATAATTATAATTTTGTTCCAAATGGATAGGATATTTTTCTGTTAAGCGTACTTAATCGACTGTGGCTTAATTCTTAATTATGAAGTTTGTATTGAAAATATGATTATAACTATGTAATTGTTATGGTACAGGGGATATTTCATCTGTTTCCCTTGGCAAGAGTGGTGATTTTAAACAGACTTCCTTAATAATTATGATCTCCTGATCTGTAAAGGTACATTCTAATAGATAGGTGAAAGATACTTCGCACGAAAAATTGGAAATACTAATATTGATGTTGTTAACAAAGGGAAGTTGTATTAGAGTTACATATTACCATGTTCTGCATACGATTCTGTGTTGTAACAATCTTTATAATAAGTGTTAGATTCACAGCGTGTCCATAACCCGCTGTTGATTTTCCGATCAGAATACTCAATCTTGAAATAGAACGTAGTTGCATTTCCAAAAATGTGTAACAGAAAGGCTATGGTTATCATCAAAAGAGCTGGTGGTAATCCCCCATCTAATTCATTCTCCATCTCTAGTGAAGAAACTTCTAAGATATAAACCTAAGACATAAAACCGTAATTGTTTTAATTAATTGTAGTTATTTTTTCTGGGAATACTTATATATTATAATTTTTATTTAATATGTTTCTATCTTAAAATTATATAAATGTAAGGATGTGGTATGATTGACAAAGAGACAAATAGACCAAAATGACAAGGATGGGAACATTTTTAAAAAGAACATCGTACGGCCTTCAATAATTAGCCAAAAAATCCATGCTTTATAGCTAGCTAAAAAGTGCCAAACTTTGACACAACTTTTGACAGCGTCAAACGCCCTGATTTATACTATGACAATGGACGAAAAATAAATATGGCATACAGCTAACAACCACAAAGACTGAACTACAGTATACCGACATGGGTTAATGTACATATAGAATATGGCGGGTTTTGATCCGCCTCTCAGCATGTAACAATGAGTTGCTAAATAACAAATATATATAAAAAAACACACACAAAATACCGATCTTAAAGTATTCGCTATTTCTGAAAACTAGTTCAAACCCCAATTTCAACTTCAGAAATCAAATCCTGCGACGGATTTAGTGTTAAAACGTCAAAGTTGTTTTATAAAATCATGATCATTTGCAATGCCAAACAATTAGTATCGACAGGATGTAGGATCATAACTTATAATATATGGTAAACAATGCATGTTGAGTTATTTATTAAACTATCATCGTTGAACTAAATTGTTAGTACATATAAAGACAATTTTTTAAGATCTTTCGACAATGCTAAATTGATATCTTTACAGAATAAGTTTATTAAAAGTACAAATAAGTGTATAAGGATCGTATTTTGAATTATGAGCTCTATTAACAATATCATAGTAAAAATAAGAATGTGCTATCCAATTTGTTATAAGAGGTCTACAGCAAAATGTTCAAAGAAAATATTTGTATTTATGAAATAATTCAGTAATCATTTGTGAAATTCCTGACTTAATAATCTTAATTTTTTCACTGCTGCTTTTTCTTTCATGGCCTGCACGTTATATAAATGCATCTGGTCGTTTTGAAAATGTTGAATATCACAATAAATACTACTCAAATAACGAGGTCCAATTTGTTAGCCGGCATGACGTAAAAACGACGAATCAAAGAATTCAGCTTTATATATAACTCTTATGAGACAATGATGTTCTTTAAAAATTACATCCTTCCATGATCTTTTGTTTCCACAAAATTAATATTACCAATAATTAACAGTTCCGGGTCTAATCCGATACCTATACCAAAAGTATATGTCACATGAAGTTTCCGGTATATTACCTTCTGTAAATCCCTCTTCTATCAGGAGAACCAGGAATTCTTCCCAGTGGTTGCTTTATGTCAATGTTACACTATAGTACACTATTTAACCAATCTGCTTTCTTCCACATCAATGCCACTATTAATTTTTTTTAACTAGTAAAAAAAATAGTTTATAGTAAGTTTATTGTAGTAAGAAAAACAGGACGGGTTCAAATAGAAAGATTTTGAAAGCAGAGAGAACTGTGCACCTTACAATCAGCATGACCTTATCAGATGACAGTACGAATACTAAAATTCCAGATTAAAAATAAGGTAAAGTAAAGAGGGATACTTTTATTTGGTCATGGATCCTCGATCTCGCGGTTGTGTTCTAGTACAGTTTAAATTAAAACCATCATAATTTTTTTAACATGTCATATAAAGGCTAGAACTTTTCATTGATCAGATATTTATCGAGATTATTGTTTTGATATTTTGACAAACAGCCAGTATTCAATTGGGTCCCATTAGTCGACTTGTGTGTTTTTATGAAGAATAATTCAACCAAACCTTTTCAAAGACAAAGTGTAAAGTGACTTGCCAAATTCTTTACTTTAATTAATTGATGGATTGGTGTTAAATGTCACTTTCAGTAATATTGGCCATTTCGTGGCGGTCAGTATTTATTGATAGAGGAAGACAGAGTGCCAGGAGAGAACCACCGACATTCGGCAGGAAAACTTAGAATCCTAGAATCCTAGTGAATTACGATTGGAGTCGAATGCACTTGCCACGTGCGGGATTCAAACTCACAACCTCAGTGTTAACAGGCTACTGATACAGTGGTTGGACAACTTATACCAATCGGCCACCGAGACCCCTCTTTACTTTAACTTTAAGATACAAAATCATAACTATGTTTCACAATTTTGATTTGTTCTCAATGCCCTCTCAACTTTTCTTATTAAAGCGTCACTGGTGAGTCTTGTGTAGATGAAACGCGCGTCTGGCGTACTAAATTATAGCCTTATTTAATTTTTTATGTTGTGTTTTGTAAACTGCTGTATTTCTCTTGTTCGTTTTTTGTTTTTTGTCATTGCATTTTCAGTTCGATTTCGATTTTGAGTTTCACTTTCACTTTTGTAGTTTCTGTCTCTCTTGCATTTACTATATCCCAGTGAAGCTGAAATTGAGGATACTGCCAAAACTTTATGTTCTCTTTCTTAAAATTGATAACGACGGACAAAAATGGTCGACTTCAAACGAGGTTTTATGACAAACGTGACGATTTCAGTTTTTCGATTGTCGACCTTTATTTTCAAGACGTTATTTGCCCCTATTGATTGACGTTTTTTCTATCTCATGTTGATACGTTATTCACGTGCAAGTTCACAAAATACGAAGTTCATTAATAGGAGTGCGCAACTAAGACAAAAAACACCCTATGCAGAGTTTGAGGAATAATGTCTCAACTCAACACAAGACTACAAGTTTTACAGTTACCGTCACGACTGATAAAACGGAAAAACATATTTTTGTGGTCTTAGATATTAAAATACTAGAATGGTCGTCTTGTCTGCAATATTTACCGATTGTGTCTTTGCACTATATGAGAGTTTTGACAGAGTTTGGATTCACGTATCTGTCGAAGCACTCGATCTTGTCTTAGTTGGAACTTGTGCGATTCTCTTAGTGTTTATCTTGATTTGTATATTATCAATAGAACTATGATTTGTTTACATCGATTATCTACTGTTCCCTTTTATTAAAATATATCTTATTTGTTGGTTTTAGTTTTCTGGTAGATTTATTAAGTTATTGTTTTCAATTTCACTTCTTTAATGTCGAATTCTTTAGCCATTGAAAATAATTATTACTGCAGATAATTATGTGTACTATCTCATTATACCAGAACTATCAACATAAATATTAACCCGAATAATTCAGTCCCTCCCCGTGATCGACTCTCCCACTCGCGAGGGCCTGAACTCTTTATACGATAAAAACGCGTCACGGATCCAGGATTTTGATTGGTGCTCTCTGTGAGAGAGAGCCAATCAGCTAATAGCTAAATGTTATCGAGATTGGTAAATCCCGAGCTAATTCCGAATAATTTTTTGACGATTTTTCATTGACTAGGCCTTCAGGCGTTAATGTAGCCATCGTAGAGCAGTGGAATATAACGACTGAATTATTCGGGTAACATAAATATGGTATAATTCATGAATATGAGCAAAGGAAACTGATCACGCCTGAAGATTTACTTTAAGTATTTCACTAGTAACCCAATTTTAATCTGACACGATCATTTTGATTTTAACAAATCTGAACAATAATTATGTAGTCATGTACGGTCTTTCTCAGTTAATTTTCAAACATACCCATTGCGGAAATTCAGTTCTGTTTAGATAATTCGCTTGCAGTCAATTCAGTACTGGTCAGTAGCTTTTAAAACAATTTAGCAGGATGCTGCTGTGAATATTGAACAGGCAAAACAACTACAGAAAAGTCTGAACATAGACCGCACAGATCTTAATTGACTACAAGCGAACTTTAAGAACTGTACTGAATTTACCGCAGTGGATAGATCTAAAAATAGAGTGGAAATGACTAAATAATTATTGTCCAGTCTTTAGGAGCTGTTCAGATCAAAATGACCGTTTCAGATATAAAACAAATAGTATTTGCTTTCTAACTCACATGAATCCAATCTAATTAAAAGTATATTTCCGTTCTCGCTCATTTCTTTGTTTGGTCACTGCTCTGAAGCCTGTATTTCAATGATTGTCGTTGGTTCATGTCTGTTATATTTTTTTTTTTGAAATTATATTGTCATGAATTATGCCGTTAGTTTTCTCGATTGAATTGTTTCAGATTCTTGATGTCCGGGACTTTTATAGCTGTAAGCTTGTTTCCATTGAATGTATTATTTATAATGATTTAAAGATACCAGGATTGATTGTACGCAAAACGCGCGTTTTGTCTAGAAAAAAAACTAATCAGTGACGCTCGAGTTTAAAAGGCAAAATAAAGAAAGAAGTTGAAGAGCGTGGAGGACCTAAATTAATCTTAGGGTAGAAAACCCTAAGTAATTTTAAATAACGACGGAATGGTCAACCGGAAATTATTTTTACTCCAAGATGTTTTTTCTGGTAATGAAAATTGAAATTACAAAGACTTGGTACATATAAGACTGTGAAATTTTATTATGGAAATCGCAGATGTCACATTTTGAGTCAAATCTTCGCATTTAATAGTTATAGAATAACTCATCAGATAATTCAAATACAGAAAAATATTCAACGAGTGACCGAGCAACACAATTCACGAATGCGCGAAGAACATGAGTTAATATCAGTGTTGAATGGTCACGAGTTAAATATTTTTTGATGTTTTAATTCTTGGATTAGTTAATCTTCTTATTACATTGACCATGGACTTTTAAATAGAAATAAAGGAAAAAAATGAAGGAACTATATCTGTTTCTACGTATTTTCAATTGTAATGATGCAACGTCATCGACAACGTCTTCACAATACCCATTGTTGTATGAATTTATCAGATTTATTTCACATTTGAAATTGTCGGGGTTTTTTTTACTAGGAAATCACGAGAACTCATTGCAGCCACTGTAATAATAAATATCAAAATTGTCAAATTGCTTACCTTAGGATTGCACTTTCCAACTTTGTTAATAAAGATATTCCGAAAGGTTTAAAAACCTCACATTTCCCTATGTGTGTCCATTTATCATAATTATAAATAAATAAAATAGAAAAATAAAAGTCAACGTTAATTTCCCTTTCAATAATTTCTTTGTTTATGATTATTTGTTCGAAGTAATTTAATATCTAGTATTTATGAACACACAATTCGATCACAAAAGCTTATTATTAAAACATTTGAACTGAAGATTAAAACTATGGTAACATTATACCGTGCTTTTATTTTAAAGAAAATGTTGTATAGGACAACACCAACGACATAATTTAAAGATGTACGTGAGCACCAATGGACATCACAAGGTTCCTACGATATTGTGGCTTCTTAAACTAAACATAAAAACTTATAAATTTCAATATATTTCATGCATAAAATGCATACAGTACAAGTTCAAGTTTAGATATTTCTGTTCTACTACAATGTCATTATAAATAAAAGATATGGGTAATGATCAACGATACAGTAACCTAACGGCAAAATATTCAAAATAGACCTAGAGGGCAACATACAGTCTTCATTGATAAACAGGTGTTTACACAATATGTTAAACACAATACATCCCCGAGTTTATATAAGAATTGTGAATGAATTAAACAGAAACATATCTCCAATTATGAACAAGATCCTTAAGATATACAATAAGAGAACCACATTCAAGACTCTAGGCTTTTGAAAGGGACATGCATATGAAGCGGCGTTTCACTAGTTTTGATTTAGATCTCAACCCCGCATTCCATCTCCCCTTTCAATTTCAATGATTGGAATAACACAACGTACATGATAGACTTCTGTATGTGCCTGTCGCAAATCAGGAGCCTGTAATTCAGTGGTTGCTGTGAAACATATTTGTTTTTCGTTCATTATTTTGTACATAAATTAGGCCGTTAGTTTTCTCGGTTGAATTGTTTTACATTTGTCATTTCGGGGCCTTTTATAGCTGACTATGCGGTATGGGCTTTGAAGGCTGTATGGTGACCTATAGTTGTTAATTTCTGTGTCATTTGGTCTCTTGTGGAGAGTTGTCTCATTGGCAATCATACCACATCTTCTTTTTTATATTCATATATTTCTGTAACTGTGTACAGACTGTATGTATTCCTATATGTACCAATTGCGTCCCTTTAATTAATAGCAGACTTGTACCTGTATTGCTTTGAATCATTATTATTGCTTCAAGAAATCAATACAATAACTTCTCTTATTATACTAACGACATTTACATAGGGGGACTGATTTTAAATAAATATTATTATAACATCATTTTGCAGTATTACAGGGCGCTTCTATATAAAAGTTATAGATAAAAGAGACGATATTTTCGTTTCCGGTTGGTAGTTGTCCCTTTTTAAAGGTGATGCACCTTTAGTCCCTTCTTTTACTGTGTGTATTTCCCAACGCATTCTCTATACCTGTGTCTGTATTGAGGTTTCAAATTTCGATGAACGTAGTCTATGTTTAACTGATAAGTTATTACAACAGGGATCTTGTTTCCACAGATTACTCAAAATTTTATTTAATTATTTCACAGATACAATGATTTTGCTGTACCTGTAGAATTATTGTTCCATAAGGGATATCATATCAAAATGTTAAGATGATATTGTTTATAGGACACGTTAACTAATCGGTCCTTTAGATAACAAAATTAAGAATGGAAATGGGGAATGTGTCAAAGAGATAACAACCTGACCAAAGAGCAGATAACCGCACAAGGCCACAAATAGGTCTTCAACACAGCGAGAAAATCCCGCACCCGGAGGCGGGCTTCAGCTGGCCCCTAAACAAAAATGTGTACTATTTCAGTGAAAACGGACGTCACACTAACCTCCGAAAGATATAAATGAACTAAAATTTTTAAAAAACAAGACTAACAAGGCAATTTATTTTTAAAGGTAACCAATTTAATATGTAGTTAGATCTTTGATTTTTGTTTTAGCGGTAATAACATTGATTTTGTTTTGATAAATAAAAACATAACTAAACATGAGAGTAATGAAAACCTTATTGTTCTATATCCTATCGATACAAAGGACTAATGTGTCGGCATTGCACAAATGATGCTTTTCGCACACAGTTTATGCCGTAAATAATTTAATGATCTTCTGATTAAACTTATTCTGAAAGGTTATAAATTCAACACTGCAATAAGATCTTTGATTTGTGTCTTTATCGGTAGTAACATTTAGTTTGTTATTAGTAAATTAAAGCATAAACAAATATTTTTTGTATACAGATATGAGCACTTACGATCCTACATCCTATCGATACTTATATGTTGTCATTCCACAACATCATTTTTTCAGGCTGTTTATGACGTCTTTACACTAAATGTTTCGAATGATAACTGATTGATAATTTAGTCTGGGAGAATAGATTTCGTTGTAATCGGCTTTGAATATAAGCTTTCAATACTTGTAAATACTCTTATATCGGAACGTTGTGTATTTTGGTTTTATACTATTTTTTTTTTTTTTTGGTGCTTCGTTCCAATCTGATGATTCAAGCTATTTCAAACTAATCTTTAAATTTTTTTTCTTATGTTGAACTGTTTCATCACAGTCCAAGTTTAGGGAAAGGGTTGAGCGTCAACAAACATTTTAATCCGGCCACATATTGTGTGTACTTTTCCCAAGTCAGGTCCCTGTTATCTAGTTGTCGTTGGTTGCTGACTATTATGATTTATATCGTTAATTTGCTCATTTATTTTATCGCTGGGCAATTCTTTAGATAGGAAAACATCTATTTGTTAGGAAGTGAAATATTCAGAGTCGAAGATTTATAACTATCAACTGAATTGAAAGGACCATAAAAAGCCCCTAATTTCTCTTAAACGTGCTGAGTTTTTTAGAAGTAAGGGAACTAGTAAAAATGATATGACGATTAGTAGAGGAACGCCTACTTGAAGCGGAGATGAAAAGAATTTTGACGGGATTTTTGTTTAGTTAAGGTATATAATATACATATATATCATGTATACATTTTACTATAACTACGTTGTACAGCAGATACATGTCGCATGTCAACATTCTCAAACATCATGTTCCTTGGATACTTTCTCACGTATTTTATCAAAGTAGCAGTCACCTCGAGACCACACAACTATAGGAACAGAATATAAACAAACAAAGTCATAAACTATACGACTTGTACATGTTGTGATTAAAAGTTATAGAGTTAAAACACAGCTGCATCATACATTATTTTAACGGTCATTCAGACAGTCTGTGAGTGTTCATGAAAACAATTAAGATAGAATTATTTAAAAACCCTGATCATAGCAAATTAAAACACAGCTGCATCATACATTATTTTAACGGTCATTCACACAGTCTGCGAGTGTTCATGAAAAGATAGAATTGTTTAACAACCCTGCCCATAGCAAATTAAAACACACCTGCATCATACTTTAATTTTTACGGTCAATCAGACAGTCTGTTAGGGTTCATGCAAACAATTAAGATAGAATTATTTAACAACCCTGACCAAAGAAAATTATTGTTGACAATTTATTGATAACAGAACTGAGATAAGAAATAATTAGCAAAGATCTTCTTTTATTAAAAAAAGAATAAAAATTGATTACATTATGGTATTTATATAGATTTGTTGTGCTTGAGTACATATTATATTTAGGATGGGTGCATGTGGCACTTAGAGGAATTTATGATGCTCTAGTACAAATGGTGCTTTGATCAGCAGTGCATGGTGCATATGACATTTAGATGAATTTATGATGCTCTAGTACAAATAATAATTTGATGAGCAGTGCATGGTGCATATGGCACTAAGTTGAATTTGTGATGCTCTAGTACAAATGGTGCTTTGATTAGCAGTGCATGGTGCATAGTGTTGTGCAGTGCAAACACAGAAGTTAAATCTCTGATTTTACTGTCACTTTTCTCTGGTTGTTTTGATCGCTTTTTTGGCATGCAGATTACTTATTTCATGATGTGGATCAATAAATCAACTGTGGTGCTATTACATGTAGTCTAATTAACTTGTGTATGTATGTTTAACAGTTATAATTCATGTACAATAGGTGCATTTCCCCATATTATTCTCCTGACATCGTTTTATTTCTTTACTTTGCGCCATTTTCCTCCTGCTAAAACTAGGGGGCGTTGCAGTCGTTGCTATATAAACAACATCTGGTGCAGAATCTGGGCCTTCTTTCGCCATAACCTTGGAGTGGAGCATACGTCTCCTCTGATATTAGAGAGCACCAAATGACTCAGAGACAAGTAATGAACCAAACAGAGTTGGTATGGAACTTGTAATTTATTAAGCAACACATTTCACCCAAAATTCGGGGAACATACATTTAATTTAATATAATTCACGACTTGCAAGCGCAAGCGGTCTTTTACCAGATTTCTCAAAATCTCGGAAGTAGCACCAAAAATAGATGGTGCAATAATTTATTCATAGTTGTAATTTGATTTGAGTTTCCTTAAATCATTAAACTCAAATCAAAGAAAGAGTATTCTAATATTGGAATTACATTTCCTTTGGAAGCTTTTTATAGGGACCAAATATTAGGGAAGTTCACCAAATCTCCATCACCAAATCACCAAAATACCAAATTAGGATATTCACCAAATAATATTTATATAAAATTGAGAATGGAAATGGGGAATGTGTCAAAGAGACAACAACCCGACCATAGAACAGACAACAGCAGAAGGTCACCAACAGGTCTTCAATGCAGCGAGAAATTCCCGCACCCGAAGGCGTCCTTTAGCTGGCCCCTAAACAAATATATATACTAGTTCAGTGATAATGAACGCCATACTAAACTCCAAATTGTACACAAGAAACTAAAATTAAAAATAATACAAGACTGACAAAGGCTAGAGGCTCCTGACTTGGGACAGGCGCAAAAATGCGGCGGGGTTAAACATGTTTATGAGATCTCAACCCCCCCCCCCCCCCTATACCTCTAGCCAATGTAGAAAAGTAAATGCATAACAATACGCACATTAAAATTCAGTTCAAGAGAAGTCCGAGTCTGATGTCAGAAGATGTAACCAAAGAAAATAAACAAAATGACAATAATACATAAATAACA